TGACAAAGGAACATTATCTAAAGTTTTCACAGTGAATAAAGTTCACTGTGAAACACAACAGTGCCCCTTTCAGAAGTGTCTTTGACCCATATATGTTCACCTGGTCGTAAGTGTGTCATGTCAAGTACTTTGTGTCTTCGGTCAAATTTTGTTTCTGTTTCTGTCTATGTCAGTTCTATCTTTTTCAGCTTTTCTAAATCCGCACACTCTGGACTGAGCTCAGACGGAATCACAGGAACTTGTGTTAGGAGTTTCCTTCCCATGAAAAGTTCGGCAGGACTGTAAACATTGGTAAGAGGGGCCGCTCTGTAAGACATTGGCGCAAGATAGGGGTCAACCGACTTTTTCAGGAGGTTCTTGATTGTCCTCCCCGTTGCTCTGCGGAAAGTGAGGACTCGACATCACATGGTCGAAACCCCAGTCCTGTGCAAAGACACGGAAACAATCTGAAGCAAACTGTGGCCCGTTGTCCCATTTTTGAAACCTCAAAAAACCTTGAAAAGTAGTCCACAATGACCAAGTAGTGCTTGTTGTCTTTTTGGAACAAATCAGCTCCTACGGTGGACCACGACCTTGTTGGAAAATCAGTAGGCAGCATGGTTTCTTTGAAATGTGTTCTTTCACGTGCACGTGTCACAGTTCTCAATCATTTTTGCTAGGTCTTAACTGAAACCTGGCCATCAAACTGAATGCTTAGCTCTCTCTCTACACTTTGTTATGCCATGATGACTTTCATGCATGTTTTCCAGTATCTCAGCTCGGAGTGATTTTGGAACAACAATCCTGATTACACTCAATAACACAATTTTGAACAGAAAGGTCTCCTGAGAATGACATGTAAGGTTGGAATGTTTTGTCAATGGAAAACTTATTTGGCCAACCCTTCCACACATTATTTATTTAGCTGCTGGAGTATAGAATTATTTTCTTGGTGCTCTTGGACCTCTTTGAGCCTCTTTTCAGTAGCTGGAAGGCTTGCCATGACAGAGTCAGCATACAGATTGATGTCTTCTTCAGAAAGCCCTTCTGCTGTACTGTTTATGGGAGCTCTAGTCTAGACAACACATCTGCTGTTGCAATGTTTTTGCTGGCCACATGTGATATGGTGTATGAAAACCTTTAGAAGACGCATATGAAGTCGCTGAATGAGTGGAGGGAGCATCCAATCTCTTGGAGCTGAGCAGAGGAACTAGAGGTTTATGATCAGTTTCA